AACAGATCTAAAGTTAACCACACCCGGTTTCAGACTGGAACTGGAGGCGGAATGTTTCTGTTCAGCTTCTGGTTCAGGTCAGAGTCCGTCTGCAACATGCAGCTCCGGCCTCATTTAGCATCTGAGGACTTTACTGGACTCACAGGAACATTCAAGACTCCTTTCTCAGCTGCACTTCTTGTCTCTCCTCTGATCAAACTGATTTCTCCTCCTGCTCTGTCAGTCTGAGTCCAAACGAGTCTTCTTCTTGACCAGGACCTTAGACATAAATACATAGACGGCGCATTGAGGGCTGAATGGTATGTCAACGTGGTGGCCATCTTGGATGTGGCAAAGTGGAGAATCATTGATCAGACAGTGAACCGATGTAAATCTCAGGGTTGTATGTCCACTAACTCCTCCAAAGGCTGTCCTGTAAAGTATGCCGAGGTAGTTTGGTGTCTGATGCTGTAACGTATCATCAGAACTGCTCACCCTAAAAACTAGGTGATTCCACAAACTGAGGCCAAAACGGCCAAACTGAACACCCTTAAGATGTGCCAACATACAAAAAAAGCTGTGCAAAAGATATTCTGTTCCAAGGTTTTCAACTTGCACACGCACACAGACTGCAGTTGTATAGCTCATATCTGCTTTTCAGGATCTGGTTATTATGGACACAGATTACATGTTAAATTACAATATTTCAGTATTACAGTAACAGAGTTACATGCATTAGTGACTGAAAACACTCAGCATTAAAGTACAGACGCTGGTTTGGTGCTTCCTTATATCCTAAAAACAGGAGTAAACATTTATAATCATCCCTTTAGAAGTTACAAATGTTTTTTTTTCCGTGCCCATTTGTTTCCCAGATATATTAGTGTGTGTGTGAATGGGTGAATAAGGTGCATTAACTTAAAACACTTTGTAGAAAGGCGCTCTATGGAGTTCAGTCCGTTTTCTTTTATTAGTTTATTAGTGGTGTTATGAGCATGGAAGCTCTAGAACTCCAATGCCCAGCATGCAACAGATTTGTCTCACTGTGCGGAGGTACGTGGTACAACGTTGTGTCATAGAGTTACGCTGGAGCCAGTGAATAAAGTGGCCAAACCAAGTATCACGTTTCCGCTACTTATTATAAGATAAGAAGAACAACACACCATGGACCAACAGGCTCAACGCAGAGTCTACGTATACATGTCTATGGACCAGGCTACTATCAGAGGTCTTCATGAGGCAACGAGACCAGAGAAAGTAATCACTGTTTTATAACAATGACTCAGACCAGAACCAGAACCCTGAACCAGAACCAGAACCAAAACCAGCCGCTCAGCCCCTCCCCCCACAAGCGCGCTCCCCCCCGCTGTACTCCGGAAGCGCGCTCCCGCCCGCTGTGCGCATGCCTGTGCGCGCGGTCCCGGAGTGTCAGAGCTCTGAGGACTCTGTGAAAGACTCTGAAAGACTGTGAACCAGTACCAGAACCAAAACCTAAACCACAGCCAGAACCAGAGCCAGAGCCAGAGCCAGAACCAGAACCAGAACCAGAACCAGAGCCAGAACCAGAACCAGAACCAGAACCAGAACCAGAACCAGTACCAGAACCAGAACCAGAACCAGAACCAGAACCAGAACCAGATCCAGAACCAGAACCAGTACTGGTACCAGAACCGGAACCAGAACCAAAAGCATAACCAGAACCAGAACCAGACCCCAAAACCAGAGCCAAAACCTGAACCAGAACCAGAACCGGAACGTGAAGCAGAGCCTAAACCAGAACCAGAGCCTGAACCAGAACCAGAACCATAACCAGAACCAGAACCAGAACCAGAACCAGAACCAGAACCAGAACCAGAACCAGAACCAGAACCAGAACCAGAA